CTCTGGCGATTGCGAAGCGAAGAAACGGCTGACATCATTTTCGAGCTGTGCTCGATCGTCGAAGGCCTTGTCCCACAGGTGATTCTTGAGGGCCCGGAACAAGTGATAGTCGGAAGGGGCCAAGTCCGGAGAATACGCTGGATGGGGTAAAACTTCCCAGCCCAGTTCCGAAATTGTCTGGCGAGTCATCTTCGCAACATGTGGACGAGCGTTGTCATGCAGAAGGAGAACTTTGTCGTGTTTGGGATGCTCTTTTTGAATGACGCCAGCCAACTTCTGAAGTTGAGCAGCGTAGACGACGGCAGTCACGGTGGGAGCGGTTGGGATGACCTGCAGGAGGAGCACTGTGTAGACTCTTGCGAGTATGGTTGACGTAGAGGACCCAGCTCTCGTCTCCAGTAACAATTTCCTTCAGAAGGTCCTTTCTGTGCGGACAAAGGAGCAGTGATTCGCAGACACTTACACGGCTCAGAGTCGCTGAGCCGATGAGGGACCCATGTTGAGTAAACCTTCCGATAGCCAAGGTCGTTCAGATGGTTGCTGATGGCCATGTGGGTGACTCCAAGTGTAGTCGCCGATTTGCGTTCGGCTTTGCATTGAGGGCGTTCCGCAGGGCTTCGTCATCGACTGTAGATGGACATCCTGAGCGTGGCTGATCTCCGAAGGTCGTGTCGCAGGATTCGAAGCATTTGAACCATCGAGACACTGTGGAATAGTGGACGACGTTGCCCTTGAATGCAGCACAGATGTTGTCCACGGCGGCTCTCGCAGAGTGTCCTTGGAGGAACTCGTAGTAGACAATGGGGCTAAGAGTTGCTTGTTCGATCGGAGCCATGGCTAGACGGCTCTTGCAGAGTGTCCTTGGAGGAACTCATAGTAGACAATGGGGCTAAGAGTTGCTTGTTCGATCGGAGCCATGGCTGCCAACTAATGGCAGGAGCCGCCTTATATACCCCGAGGGCAGAAGCTTCAAGAACATTCCAGCATATACAAATGCAAAGCCCCACCCATCATTCCTTTGAAAATTTTCATAAATAGTTTTAGATAGTGTTGCAAGACTTTCTTTCCAACCCAATACATATGCTGATAGATACAGTCAACCATCACTTAACCTTTATACTTAATCTTTCTAAATTTGAACAGAGCCTGAAATTGGAAAAATGTGAATTTTTCTACATTTGAAAGCAGCAATTATGAGGAAAATTTATAATTTTGCTATATTTGAAGATCATGGAATCTACCTTTCCTAGGAGTGCAATGAAAGATTCCATGCTCTTCGAATATAGGGCAAAATTTGACTTTTTCTGCTTGCATGTTCTATTTCAATTTGGAAATGCTCAGCATGTAAAGGTTAATAATATTCCACCACCCTCACTCGTTGACAACTCTTTTTTTTGTGACCAAATCTTCCCCATAGGCTTACCATAGACAATCCTCTATTATCATCACCCTCTCAAGTTGCCATAGACCAATATCATAATTTTTACAAACATGTCTTTCCCTGCATATGCCCTCAATTTGTGCTTATTAGCACACATACTTCAACCCTTATTATGTATAGAACACAGCTAAACATATGTTACCAATATGAGGATGATTTATAGCTATGGAATGAATGAACAAATGTGGAGTATAAGAATGGACTAAGAATGGCAATTTAAGCTTCAGACTCATTTAGTCAATTTGTCCAGAAAATTCTGTATCTTAGCCACTAGCATGCTGTGGTTCAATAGATATAGTACCCCCTGCATTATAGCACCAACAGTAGCATTTTATCATGGGATGGCTATATACCACACTGGCTCAAGTGTGTATGCTGAGTTCTTTCACTCTGTCTGTTTCAGCACATGTCACTCTGTGGTCATGTCAGAGCTTGAAGTCTATCCAGAGGTGAAGGAGGTAGAATTCTGCCCATTGTGTGACTGCAAATATGAAAGTCGGAACACTGCCACTATCAAAGTATGAAACTGCTACATTTTCTATTCTATGTATCAGTATATAGTTTCATTATGAAGATATCATGTTCCCAATGTTTTAATCATCATGGGGAATATATCTGATATTGCCCACTGAATTCATTTGAAAGATGACTTGGAACTCTAACAAGCAAAGGATTTTGCAACTGAGAGGGCCCATCTGATGTCTGCAGAGGCCTTACCATATGTCAGGCATAACAACAAACCTATAAATTGTGTAGGGGTATAGAGAATTAATACCTTGCAGTCATAACACGTATTGATGACTTGTGACCTAATTGGCCTATTTTAATAAAGAGTGCTTAATGAAATGGCACTGCTGGTCAGTCAAGCTCTGATGTCAATTAACTGACTCTCCTATGCTTTTCTACTATGATTGGCAAAGTCCTGGTTGAAAAAATAATGTAAAATCTTTTCTTTCTTAACTTCTTGATTTATTGTATTTTTCTGTTGCACAGTGCTTTATTTCACATTATCTTAGTTTTCCATTTATTGGGTTGGCATGTGGAAATGTTAACACTATATTTAAGAAACCCAGTCTCACCATCGTCCATGTATCATCATTGTCCACTTCAATACCTGCCAGGATCTGTGACCTTTTTCTGCTTTTGGTCCCTGGCCCTCCAATTCATGCTGGTGAAAGGTTTTTTCTCATCCTTTTCCCAGTCATGTCCTCCTCATCCCTCTTGGTTCCATTTTGGAGGAATATATGGGCAAGAGAGATATTTAATGTTTCCATGAGTTTGCCAAAGAAAATTTGTTGCTTTTGCCTGCTGCCTAAAGAGTTGAAAGACAAGCATTGAATCATAAAAGTTTTTGAAAAATTAATTTAAAAATCTAAAATCATTAAAGATTGCATGAAAACAAGGATAATCCAAATAGTGAGGGTAGGATGTAGTCTATATGCTTATAGCAAGCCAAACCAAAAGATAGGTATGTTCACAGGGAGATTAGTCAAATCTCTTACCTGTTTCCTGGTCACAAACAATGTAAATTTGTACATTATCCTAGTGAGTCACTTAAATGAAGTTTCAGAAATGCACACAGCCATATTCATTGTGTTTTTTTTTTTAATGTTGAATCAACTGATGAGAGGGAAGTCAAAGGTTCTAAAATCAAGTTGAAAATATAATGTTACAATATGGTCTGCAAGGAAATTGTTTGACCTTGACATATCTTGGCACTAGGTAAATAACTAACTGCTACGTTTCAGTATGACATGTACTATATTGCCAAAAGTCAAGGTCCACTCATGCAAATGATAAGTGACATGTTGCAATCCTATTTTTGATCTTAGTAACCATAGCAACAGGTATATACTGCCTAGCAAAGGTCTGGAACATCATTTGACAGTATGGTAACAGCTTGATGAGAGCTTAGTATGCTCCAGCATGACTTGATAACTGAGTACATCTTAGCAGGAAAGTCCAGCTTAGTTACTAGTGTTTTTCACTTAACTTGGACACCTGTGCATGGCATGTTCCTCATGCATGAGTGTTTGAGTCAAGTGAAAAATTGTCTACCTCAAGTGGAAAACAATGTGAAATGTTTCTGGACTTGCTCTGAAAATGTGGTATGTAAAGTTATTGCATAGTGGAGGTATCATGGGCTCATAGGTAACCTTACCTGGCCAGGGTTGTTTCAGGCTGTCATCTGTGCCGAGCATTCCCAGCACCATATTGACATTGTTCTTGACTTTTTTTTTCATCATATGATCCCCATACAGGGATCAGTTCTGCCCGCAAAATCTCATGTACAAGGTTCAAGTCCTATTCTTAAATTTCTTTTAACTTGCTTTCTTTACTTTGTATGTGCATACAATATCTCTCTCCCCACTCAGTACTACCACATTTCAATTATTCTCCAGAAATTCAACAAGCTCAATAGAGCATAGAACATAATAAGCATAGAGACTTTAATTTTGAATCTACAATGTTGCATGTAAATAACATTTATATATCATAGTAAAAATGGACAAACAAGCTTGCTACACCCATGCCAAAATAGCACACATGTGCAGGTAAATCTGGTATTTATTTTGGTGCAGGGTATTGTAAACCTGCTTACTCACTGCTCACAGCTCTTAAATAAAGTAGCAAAGCTTCATCAAATTTAGGCAATTTTCATTGTGAAATTGGTTTAGTTCCTGATGTGTGATATTTCTGAGAAAAACTTGAGGTTAGTAGTGTTATATATATATTTATTCTGTTAAAGATTCCCGTATAATTTTATGGCTATGTGAATTTCAGCAGATTTGAGACAGATTTCATTGTTATTTCTCATGACTTCAAGTGTAAGGAGCACTAGCTGATAAATGCATCACCTAATGTACCTTCATCTGCTACAGAAAAGCCTAACTCTACATCAGATGTGGAAATTAGTAGTGATAGCCCTGATTGGGCTGTATTGCAAAATACTCTTATTTTAAATGCAATACTCACTGTGGGAAAACTGAAAGGGCTTGGAAGGTTTTTTTTTTCTTAAGAAGAGGTCACGTGGAGGGACTTAGCTTCCCCAAAATATTTTTTTGCTGTGTTTTTCCTTCATACCTTTGTAACCAAACTGTAATGATTATTATGGCAAAAAAAAATGTTTTGGGGGAAAGCCTTTCCAAAATATGTAACCCTAAGAGATGCACCCTAAAAGTAGGAATTTTTCTGAATTCAAGACCTGAAAAACTTTTTGTGTTCCAAATTTCAGCTTTCTATCATATCTGAAAAAGATAGAATAGCATCAGTCAGTCAATCATCCACTCCCATGTGATTATTTATTTATATTAGATATTTACTCACAAAAATCTGTACATCTTAAATCAATCAATATACAGTGCAAGTCAAATGATGGAATCAATGGGGGATTTCACAGGTGTCCTATATGGTCACCATTCCACATGATGCAGAGGTCCAGGCAGTTTTGCTACTCATTCTGGACATAGCTGAGCATTGTTGAGGTTACTGTCCTTCAGCAATCCATGATACATTGCCATAGCTCTTGCAAATCAATCAGTTTAGAATAGTATATCCAATGCCAGATATGTCCCTGAAGGAAGATGTCAAGGTGTGTTAAGCTGTTTAAGTTGTCAGTGACCTCTCTTTGGGTGATTCCCTGTTGCCCTCATGAAATAATTTTTCTCCATGCCTTCATCCTGCATCAGTTCAATGACTCAATCATGCAGAAAAAGAGATATGCTGGAATTACCATTCATTCCAGACATTTAACTCACTCTAATTCAACCTGCAGATACTTTTGACTATTTTAAAAGAAAATGATTACAATAATCAATATCCAAATAATCCAAAGGAGTTCTTTCATCACTAAACAGACTGAGTATTTTATCTTTACATAATTGTTCCAGTAGAAGGAAAGACCATTCATGTTGCCACACTTTCCTAGTAACCTTTTCCTTCATTACTACCCTCCTTTTTCCATTTCCTTTCTCCATTAAGCCATATCAATTTTCAGGACTTTATCATTTTCAAAGCAAAGATGCAATTAATTTATCAATACTATTTATGGAACGAAAAATTTAGATTGCTTTTTATATGCAATATGCTTATTAAATGCTATCTTAATTTTTAGGTATGCCTATTTAATTTATGCTATGAAGTTTTAAGGAAATGACAGCTATCCTTTCCAGTTCCATTACCACTTTCCCTGGTGAAGGTATGTTTTGATGTCCATGGCATGGGCATGGGAAAGGTTTAAGAAATACCCTAATTTCCAAAGTATCTTCATCTAAATGTATAATAAATGGCCCCTCTCATGTATTTGCTGTCTGTCCCAACTGGGACTAGTGAACTCATTTTTGTTGTTTCTCCAGCTCCCTCAGACATGTCTTCAATATTTTATTCTTTCTCCATGCCTTTCTTCACCTTTGAATAATTGAACACTGCAACTCTAATGTACATCTGGCAACAATACGGGGTTGACAGTCGGTGCCTTTGTATGGAGTACCCCAAAATACCAAAATGTTTTTTTTTTTAATGACAACTGTTATTTCTCATTCCCCAGGTTATAGTGATTATCATCATTTGGATCATCGCCATTCTAGTCCTCTATATGATCTTTCTCATGGTTCTGGATCCAATTCTATCCAAGAGAAAACAAGATGCATATGTTGAACATACAAATGAAGAAGTAAGTGAAATGTTCTCTATTGTTTCTTTTGCAGTGAGACAGGAACTTGATGACTTTATGAACAGGAATATGACTCATTTCCATTTAGGAGCCTCAAGCCTCAACAAGCGAAATGCCATTGCGGAATCGGTCTGGCTCAAATGTCTTCGATCGTGTGGGGCATCAGCAAGTTAGATGGAAGCAACAAGTCCAGGAACAAAGACGGAATATCTATGATCGACATGTCATGCTGAACTGAAAATGCAGAATATTTATTTTTGGTTGGCCTTTTCCCACCGGCGTATCTGACACTCCAGCCAATGAACTCACTTCTTGGAAGAAGTGCAAGTACAAGTTCTGCAGCATCCATGTGATTGTTGTTAGGTTTTTCTTCCAGGAAGGATCACCTGAAACACCAGTACTGATCTTATCAGTAGGTGTGTATGTGTGCTAATGATATATTCTCATCATAGGCAATCTTCCAGCTTTGTGTTAAGGTCTGGAAGGTTTCATTATTCCAAAACTCATTGTGGAGCCCTTTGTTGTGACAAGTATTGGTGTGATTTCTCCTTTCTCAGTTTCCACCAATGCAATGAATGCTAAGAAAATGTCATTAGACCCATTCATGATCATCTCATCTAACCTGTGCTGTGATGTGTACAAGAGAATGTAGGCAGTTGGTCATAATATCAAAAGACATTTGTAGAACCATATTCTGTAAGGCCTGAAATAGAGAAACACTTTGCTTCAGAATAATTATCTATCTTTTTTTACATGCATATATACAAATTTGAAAGATTGAGAATTACACTGAAAATCAATTTTAAAAGAAGTACAAGGTCTGCATTGATGTTTCAGCATTGCCGAATGTTGCAAGCTTTCCCTCTTGTCATACTGTATTTCCATTTCCATTCCCCATATGTGTCACGTTTAGCCTTTTGGGAATGGCAAAATACTGGAGTATGGAAATGTCTCCTTGATGTGTTTGATTACATTTGCCCATTCCAGAGCGGTCGAAACATCCCAAGAGGAGAATTGGTAAGTGCATTTGGAAGGAAGCAGGAGCTGCTCAGAACTCCATTTCCTCTCGTGAAGTTCACCTAACAGAGAGCTCCTATTTACTTTCTCATAAATGAAGATTGATACGTCTCACATAATGTGTATTCATTCAAGGACTTCGAAGTGCATAGTCGCAAGCAACCCAAATCACTAATTTGACCATAACATTATGGACATCTGTCTCATTTACATTTCAGGTGAAGTTTTAGCGAAAAAAATTCCCTGTTGCCACTACTGCGTATAAACCAATCCAATTAATGAAATCTGTCGTTATGCCTTGACGATCTCGAAGGTCAGGTCGAGGCAACCGTAGATGGTGTTTGGATCAGCAAGGGTATGGAAAGTCATTTTCCCCGTATAACTTCCCTATAACAAAACAATAAGCATGTCGAGTCGTGGAAAACAGTTTCAAAGAGAAGCCTCATGCGTTCTAGAAGGGAGCCTGCTCACCTGGAGGAGAGTAGCGAAGATATCACCGAAATCGGGTAGCTCGAAGGGGAGGGAGTCGCTTGCATATGTACCTTGGGGAATGGGGCATACACATCCTCCTGGGGGGAACAGTTGGCAGAATATGTCCGCGTAGTCCGTCACGAGATCGCAAACATCGTAGGTGCTGCAAGACGATAAAAATTAAGGGCCGATTGCATGAACGATGTTTATTTTAGACATTGATTATCGATAGTCATTGTTTAAACACTGTCTGAAACGACACCTTTTTCAGCTTCTGTTGGACGTCGGTTAGACAATAGTTACAGGAAGAGAACGTTCATGCAATCCATTTTTGGCCTTAGACATCGGTTAACCGATGACAATCGAAAAACACCGGGAAAACAGCGTTCATGCAATCG